TGCCAATTGTTTTTTTTTTGTATTAATTTGAAATTTTTGATGCTCTATTTTTTGTTATGGTTTTCATTTTTGGTAAACTTTTGTCCAACAAAACTCTTTTGTTCAATATTTTCAGCAGCTAAACTCAAAAATGCGTTCGAGGTGTTTTGCTGTTTTTTATTTAATTTCCTCGTGCGCTTTTTTTTTTTTGTTCTTTTTATCGGCAGTATTTTGCTTTTGTCGGCATTTTGCTCTCCCGCCTTGCTCGCGCGCTCTCTCTCTCTCTCTCTCTCGCGCGCTCGCTCTCTCGCTTTGCCAGTTTACAGTTTAAAGTTTGAAATGCGCAAAATCCAAGAAATATGGGCACACCACGTTTTTTATTCAAAAGCTGCCTTCAAAGCTATTGAGTTAGTTATTTTTTAATATTTATGTTTTGACAAATTTGCAAATTTATTAACACAATTTGAGTACTTTTGACTTTTTATTGACTTTTTGGAACAGTTTTCGCTTCACTTTAAGGGAGCCCGTTGCTCGTCCTGCCACGCACTTTCAACGACTAAAATCGCCGAATGAGTTGAAAATTTTTTTTTAAAAAACGCGATGCTGCGACGCGCGCGCAAAAAAAAAACTACACATATATATATATATATATATGTGAGTTTGAAGCGATCGCCTCCTGCCTCTATTTGTATTTTTACGCAAAGGGGTGAAACGCAATTCGCTTTATACGTTGTACGGTAGAAAGGGAACGGCGCATCATCCCCTTTGGCAACCCTAAAAAACGGGTTGCCAGCCCAGCGCGACGTTTGGTCTCCTAGGTTTTTGGCTTAGGCTGCGGCCTCTGCTCTCTCCCTATTGTGTGTATTTGCGCGCCTGCAAAAGTGCACACACATACACACACACAACATCATCATCATCATCATCATGAGCAGCACGCAGCGATCATGTCGTTGTCCTTGCGCAATAAGCCGCCAGGCTCTGACTGAGATTCCTTTCGCGCCGCTTCGTTGACACACCTTTGCACACAAAACTCGTACTTCACCTGGATTCCAGTGTATCTTGCAGATTGATCCTCTTTGCTTTTTTGGTTCACTTCACGTCGTCTACGTCGTCTTTTGTTTGCCTGCCGTGTTTTTTATTTGGCGCGCTTTTTGCACACATTTCTCTTATCCTTATGCCTAAGTCCTGTTTTGTCAGCCCTTGGAATATGTGCATATCCTTTTACCCAAATATATCCTTTTCCTTATGGGGCTAGGTAAGGTTACTCCAAACCCGAATCAGAGTACTTTGTGATTGAAATCGTTTCAAGTTTTTTAGTATTTTTTTATGCAAAATCTATTCTATTTCATTTGACTATATCTCAGTCTGTATAAATCGGTCTATATATCTCAGTCTATATGTAAATCCCTCAAAAATGTTCGAGCGTTTTTCTATAAATCAATTAAAATCTTGTAATACTTCATGTAAATACAATTTTCACTCGCAAGAAGCGGATTTATTATAATATCTAAAATATATATTTTTAAATGTAAAAGAAAAGCTGCGCCGGGCAACGCCGAGTAATGCTGCATGAGTACTATTCACAATCGAAATTCATAATTTGAATAAATTGCCTTGAGCTATTCGTTTTTTTTTAACTATTTCAACCCAAATATGAATTACTTCAATCCGGTTGCAGATCTTGCACACTTTTTTGGGGTGAACGAACTGTAAGGGCCAGGTAAGAGATCAGGCAAAGACAAGACGCATTGTTGCCCAGGTGAGGCGAATTGTTTACAGAAGCCCTAAAAGAAAACTATGAGCAACTTGGTCCTCCCTTATTGTCAACTTGCCGCAGACAACAGGATCGTTTCTCAATGCCGAACTTAAGAATAGAAAATAACAACCCCATAGAAGAATGTGATTGCAGCGCGTCTTTTGCTAGCTGTTAATGTATGCAGCAATCGAACTGGTACTAAATAAAAGTAAAAGGTAACTCAACAAATACTCTAACAAATAGTTGGCACATCGAAATTACAGCCCGGCTCAAGTCACCCTATCGTTTTGTGTAAGTGCAATCACGCTCCTTATCTAGCCTTCTGCACACTGAACCTGAAATTTTGTTTAATTACAAAAACGAGGGGTAAACTCGAACAGCAACAATCACGGCAAAAGGTTAGGTATTTTTATTTTTGGGCAAAAACATCAAATGTTTGCACGCATATCCCAGCAATTACTTACGGTTTTGTGCACATTTTCAGACTGGGATTTATGGGCGAGAACGGGCCGAGGGTTCGTAGTCCTCGTCGACATCCTCTTAACGGAGCTGAATTTCTGTAACCAAAGATTGCTGATTTACTCCGTTCTTGACTTGCACGCAGCAAAGCTGCTCAAGAATCAATCAACACCTACGCTTAAAAGTCGAGCATGCTCTCGAGGATCTGCCTGCATCCCAAAGGAACCGATCAACTTACATCAACGGGAATAACAGCAATGAGTTTAGCCAAGGCAGCTGCGCGGCAAACAAACAAAAAAAAAACGCACAAAAAACTAGAAATATGACTCAATTCAAGTGAAGCACGGCTATGAGATATCCTGTAAATTGGCATTTGATGAAAAATTCAACAAAGTCAAGTTTATATTCTTTTTATAATAAAGTAAGTCTTGTTTTATTGTCCCCATTTATGTCATTTTAATGCATTTTAATTATCATACATTTACTTAAATTTAAAACAAAGTATATATTTACAAACAGTTAATATAAGTTATTTAAGTACATTTTACAATTTACATAAACACTTACCCTTATTTACCTTTCAATCTTGATTTCCTTTCTTTTCGCACAGCCCAATGAAATATACCCCAACAAGTTGTGCCCGCAGGGTATTTTGTGTACGAAACTGCAGGACGCTGCTAAATCCCTGCATTGAAAGAGGCAGACGTAACAAAAACAAAGCGCAACGCTAAAAAAAAGGGGGAAATTCAATGCCGTGAAAAGGGTAGAAAAGGCGGCGGAGAGGCCGATAGACCGACTGCGACTGCGGCAGCGACTGCGACTGATTGCATGACCTGAGTAGTAGGGGAAGGGGGGGGGAACATCAGTTTGTGAGCGTGAATAAAAATGGGCTGACTGACTGCTAACGTCTGAGAGTTCGTTATCCTCTTTGCCCAATCGACGACGCGTCAGTTTTTTTTTTTTTTTTTGCTTTTTTATTTGGAACAATGAGCCAGACGCGCAGGATGCTTCGCTGCGCTCTCCGCTCCTGCAGCAACAACATCATCATCATCATTGTCATAATCAGCAGCATCATCATCATCATCATCATCGTAGTCGGACGACAGCAGCGCGCAACTGCAGCGGCTTTTTATAACTGTATACCCTGCATTAATTTAAAATGGATATGGAAGAGTTCATTGACAATTTTGTACGGGTAAGTGGTCACATTAATTCTTATCCGAACCGATAGTTCGCATAATTTACCAATATTAAGAACATTTCCCTTTTATAATACCTGCTGCTGTTATACGTGCGCATGTAGCACAGCTAAAAGGCCGAGTGTATGCTATGGCAGTTCGCAGCTGGCTACACGGTATCTCCTAGTCGAGCACTTTCAGTTGAACCGCGCTTGCTTTTTGTTATAGTCATAGGGTTGCATTCGGTTATAAGAGTTTAAAAAAAAAAAACAACAACCAATGGGTGTTAACGGCGAGGCTGGCTGCTGCGTCAAATGATTATGCTGATAACCCGAATGACGTGGCAGATATTGGTCGAACGGGAAATAGCAAAGGTTACATCCGCTTTGAACATCTGGAAATTAAATGTTGATGTTTGAATATCGCATTTAAGTCAGTATCCAAGCCAATTCGCTTCAAGAGATTGAAATGATATTACAAAATATCCTTCGATTGAATCAATAATGGGAATAATGCGTATAATTGTGCACACAGGCTGATTTTTATTTTAATTTTAAACTTAAAATAAGTTCATCTCTCTTTTCTTATAACTTCCCCCATCCACTCAATGTCGAATTTTGATAAAAATAGGGGTTTTTCATCTCGAAGATCAATCTTCAAGTGGCCAAAAAAGCCACCTTGTGGGCGCCAATACTTGTAGGCCTTTACTGGCTCCACCTAGTGTATAAACATTGAATAGAGTATTCACTCAACACCTAGAGGTCGCCACATAACTTGACGAGCCATGGTTCGTGAGTTCGCTCAAACTAACAGCTTGACGAAGTATGACTTGGTAGTTAAAATGGTTAAGAACTGGTGCAATAAAAAATCAACGAATCCATAAATTATATGCGATACGCCATCGCTGAACATTATCCATAAAAATTGATCCAACTGCAAATAAAAGTTAGAGCAGACCTGCCCTGAAGAACTGCCATTTATTCAATTAATGCTAAGATAAATAGAATTTATCTATATTTAAATTAAGAATTTCATAATTTAAATAAAAATTTGGCATAAAATGACAACAGTTTTCAGAGCCGCATAGGAAAATATTTACAAAAAGTATTTATCTTTAATGAATAATCAACATTGCGTTAGAGAAAGAAACTTGCACAATTGTCCCATTGTATACGCAACAACTTTGCACCTTTTATGTCCACACCTTAAACAACCCACATGACGCGAAAATGCCTCGCACTGTGTTACGTCACGAGCGCTCGTTATTTCAATGAATGAGTTTTCATCATGCCACCACACAACACGCTCATCAGTTTATGGTGAGAAGGTGGCAATGAGAAATTCGGCACCAAATCCGAAAGGATAGTTTAAGGTCATGGTGAGTTGTAAGAGAGAAGGTCAGTGGCAATGCTCTTAAATTCCCATTAAACGTGCACACACTAACACACACACACACATCTCTCTCGCTCTCTCCCTTTCGCGCTCTGGCTGACTAGCGCGCAGTCAAAGCGATTTGGTTGCTTGCTCTCTGCCAACACGCTTATCGTAGATTTGCTTTCGCCCTACTCGCGACAGCTCTATAAGACGAAGAACTTAACAGACAGTGCGCTGTGAGGCTCATTCGCTATTTTGTCATCGAGCGTCGCAGAATACAACTGAAAGTTGTCTAGACCCAAGAAGTTGTCGGTGGACGTCTTCGCAGTGCTACAAATAGAAAGTGAAAATTATGATATAAATCGTGTGAACATATTCCAAATAGTTATAAACACATCCGTAACCGTACAAAGCGCACGAAAATAAACCATAAACCATGGCCAAGGAGACGAGCAAAATGGTAAGCAGTTCATTTGTTGTTCTTGTTGTTGTTGTTGTTTTTTTTTCTCGCAAGTACCGTTTCGAGGTGAAACTAGTATTTCCTGTAGGGATCAATTCACTCAAACATGTGCCCCGGCGACCTTGAAATCTGCTGTGGTGTGTTTTGTAGCCAATGACAATTCGCAATCACTGTTAATAGGCAAAATATACGTACGCATGCATGTGTGGGTGTGTGTGTGTGTGTGTGTGCGTACGTGTGTATATAATTATCAAGGGAAAAAGTCATTATGTCTCTCTCTTAGTTTTGAAGAAAATTTGTATTTAGTAAAGCAAATCGTTGTTGCCGAGCTCCGTCCATTGGTTATCAATAAGCGTGTATATATATACATAAATATTACCTAATTTTACGCAACATTTCAACTTTCTCTAACAGATCCCACTCAACATTTGAACTCTGGGCTCATTAAGCGATACACTTCTGCTCTTCCAGCTTCATTCAGGTTGTTTTTATGCAAGTGTATTTAGAGAGAGGGCAACAACAGTTTTCTGCCTCCAATGTTTTCATTAGTCAAGCTGATGATTTCATCAGTTGCCCTATCAGCTGTGCGTTCTATCTAATGCAAAGAGAATCCCATGACTACGCCACGCATATATTATCTAATTGTATAATTGTTATGAAACTCTATTTGATGACGTTCTTTTCTTGGCTCTGGCTCTATCTCAAATACCAATCTCTGCCTTATCGGCCAAATCTTTGTACCGTTCATTATCTATACATATGTGTGTGTGTGTGGGTGTGTGTGTGTCTGGCAAGCACCTGACCATAAATGTTCGTAATGCCGTATGATAAGCCGTAAGACAATAAAGTATTCCTCCAAGCAAATAATTATCATGCCAAGGCTCTTCTTCTTCTTCTTTTTTTAACGGTAATTAATAAAAATGAAGCTTAAGCGAGAAATGTGCATAAAAAAATGTTTGTTAAGTGTAGATTTATAAGTTTTGTTGGAATTTGCTGTTCATTAGAAATGTGATTATTTTGTGTGCTGCATTAAATTCGAGAGTTTCGAGAAGTATTTTATTAAGCCCCCAGCTAATAGCACTTTGCAACGGGAAAGAGAGAAAGAGCGAGAGAGAGAGAGAGAGAGACTTTACAGATAGTTTACTTCAATTGAAAACAAACAAAATATCTCTTGATGAAAGGGGGATATATTGGAACTTCTTTAAAGCTTATTCGATGATTTTGTGCACTTAAGATATAGATACATAACTGTTAGTTGCAGCCGACTACGCAATACCCTGTAAAAACAGAGAGAGAGAGAGAGAGAGAGAGAGAGAAAGAGAGAGAGAGACGTCTTTTTTGTTTGCTTCAAGATTTGATAATTTTTCCGAATATTTAAGATTTTTTCAAGGCTGAAATGGGCGTGCTTTAAATATTTTTGCTTCGATATGTAAACCAAAAAAATTTGGCTAAATTAAAGAAACTCACATGTTGAATAAATTTGTAGATTTTAGCGTTCTCCTAATTGTTTATTAATTGCCATAAATTGTAATAAATATTAATCGAAAAGTGAGTTATTTTTAATATAAACAATAACAAATTAGAGGAAATACTTGCTGGAAATATATAACTATAGATATTTGCTACGTTTTCCAGACTCAACGGAAGAACCTAGAAAAAAGTTGTCCTACCTCAAGCAAATTCTTCCAGAAATTTGAACTGGAGACTTTTGCCTGCGTGAAAGTTCTCAAATATTCAAAGATTTTATATATAAATATTTCCTTCAAATTGTCTGCATTATAACTCAAGGCACAAGTTGTGTCTATATAAATAGAATAGATCGCAAGCAAACGTTCCTTTCATTTGTTTGCATATACTATTAGATTATTTTCTCCATATGATCTGGTTTATATGTACTCACGTGCCCGGCAATGACGCACTAATTGCAGAGCCCAAAACAATTGACGAACGCAAAACGCAAAAGTCAAAGTCAATAGCTAAAAATATAATCCAACTAAGTATATGTATATGTATCTCTGGCTAGAATGTATAGAGAGTCTCTTTTGGAGACTTTGTTCTGAAATTTATATTCGATTTGCATAATACTATTATCTAATGCGACAACATTTCAAAGATCTTGGTAAATAAGTATATGGATGACCAATTTGATTATTTGCAAGAAAAAAAAAAAAGGGGGCCTGTCTCTCGACACGCCGAAGATTAAATACCCTTGCAGACATTGATATGTATGTGGCCTGGAAGTGCGAGCGAATGTTCTTGAAGAAACTTTAGTATATGGTAATCTGATTATATAAAGTTTTCTAGATAGATATTTTGAAAAAAAAAAAACATAAAAGTTTTTGATACACAATAAATACATTTGTCTACTAATTGTATGATATATCGAGTCAATAAGTTATCATTGCGGAACAAAGGGCTCCTCGTTAATGTCAAATTTAGTTCAGATACATATCTTATTATTATAAGAAGAAGTTCCGATTCTCTGCCAGCTTCATGATATAGTGTTACCTTCTGGTCGAATCCTACATATATTATGCCTGCAATAGCCCATAAATTTGTTTGCATAGAAACCGATTCTGTTTTCCGCATATATACACATATATATACCCTATATATATGCGGCATATCTTTAATATTCCTGTACATTTTGACGCTTGAGAAATGAATATAACGGTAAATGGTAAATTGAGCGTTTCTTTTTTTTTTCTTGTCAGCCAATAACCTGTTGGACTTTCACTATAATTGGGTCTGCCGAATCTCCTGCGGCTACAGTCCGCATCTGTACATATGTTTACAGTTACGCTGCCTGCACTGATAAGCGCACTTTTGTTGTGCAGTGTGTGTGTGTGTGTGTGTGTGTCTCCTTCTCTTCGGGTGCGGGTCACAGGCTTGTGGGGGGGTGTTTGTAATTTGCTTGTAGACTTGTTTCCCGCATGCAACAAGTGTCCGCCGGTTGCGAGTCAAGAAAATGCAGTTTGTCCACATTTCTGCAACAAGCTGCATGTTGTTGTTGTTGTTGTTGTTGTTTTCCATTTCTGTTGTCGTTCAATCGTTTTTACTGGCATTTTCCAGTTATGCGTCGCTTTGCCCCTTCTCCCTCTACTTCTCCATCACCTGCAACTGCTTCTCCTTCTGCATCTGCTTTGGTCTTTCCTTCGTTTTACCTCACTTGTGCATGCTCTCACGTTGTCTCCGTTTGTTAAATCCGTAACGGAACCAGCCACCTTCCCCTCCCCCGCCTCCTGCCTCTCCTCCTGCCATGTGAGCCTTCTAGCTGTTTCGTTTGCCTCTTGGCTTTGGCTCTTGCATTTCTGCTATTTCTTCTATTGCTTCTATTGCTTCTATGCTTCTTAGTGATGACAGCGTGAGCAATGCCAAAAGCCAAGAAAAAACAGCTGTTTAACTGTGATTAAACTTGTTTTAAAGTAAATTCTTTTAAAGTTGTTAACTATTACGAATCCTAATCTTAACTAATTGCAATGCAAATGCAGAGTCATTTCTCTTGAAGCCCTTTTTTTTTCATTTGCTTTGGTGCGCCATCTCCATTTTGAAAATAAAGAAATAGTTTAGGAATTACAAGTTTTTCAGAGCGTGTTTGGCAATTTACTTATATTCAATAGTTATGCGAAAAAACAAATATCGGAAAGCAGCTTTACATATAGGTTTGGTGCACGTATATTTTGTGAGGATTTAACTCCTTCAAATAGAAATTTCACTTTTTTATTATTAACTTATATCGGTTTTATATTGCTCTGAGAATAATTTTGGTATACTTAAGAGAGTTATTTTCTACCCCCCAAAACTTCTGAGTTTGTCGACACTTTAAATATTTTATTTACAAAGTCAAAAATTAAAGTTTATTTCGTATAGCTTTCGGACCACATATTACTTATATATGCATACGATATCCAGGTCTGTATATATAATGTATGCATATATAATTGTTTGTAGTTAGACGCAATAATTATGCGCATATATTATTCATTTATGAGGCTATGGGGTAAAAGTATATACTCGCGTATGAATATGTAAGCGTGCATTGATGAATATATGATTTGATAAATATAATAATATTTTTATTTTTACAAAATAAACATTTGAAAATACAAGTCAAAATCTAAAATGTCTTAACTGTTGCGTATATACTAAACACGGCGATATTTTATTAACACTCACGCTCTCATCACCAATCAATAATCACATCTCTCGTTCAGGCTCTCGTACATGGCATTCTTATGCATTGAATTTCCTACTATACTCAACTTGTTGCGTCGCACAGTGGAGCAATTACTGCTACATAGTGCAAAAATATGTTCAGTGAAAGCAATTTGTTTGCCAACGATTGGCTGTAATATAAATATATTTGAGAGTTATTAGGTTACTCTTACATATCAAGTCATTTTGAAGGGTTCTATAAGAGTATGCCAAAAAGTTAAATTACAATTATAATTGAGAACAGCTTCTAAATTTGTATTTTTCACAATTTGAAAGAATTGGCACATTAAAATTTTGGAATATATTATATCGAAATACTTACAGCTTATTCAACTGTCAACAATAATCGCATGTTTATGTTGCCTTTCTGAATAATTAATAATTAACACTCAAATAAAAAAGGGCAATACGTGAACTCAATTCTCGATTGGCGTTCCTTTATATTTTGTTTAACTTCGTCCACTGTGCAAATACACACAAACACACACACACACACACACAGGCGCGCACATATATGCGCACACCAATACACAGTTACATTGCGGCTGTGCTGTGCCGGCGGCCTCAGTCAGAGTCTCGCAAGTCCCTAGAGTCAGTTCCGCCGACCGATTTCTCGAGTGAGTTTAGTCGCGCATTGCAACGTTAACGAAACGGGCGTGTTCTGGTCATCGCCTGGTCTCCCATCTACCGTTCTTCGTCGTTTTGTGGTCTCGTCTGTTGGTAACTAAAAAATTTACCGCTGCACGAAACACGCTGAAAGTTCCAAAACGTAAATTCTATGTTCA